AATAGATGACTGTGAGCTAACTAGTACTGCCCTTGTGTGTTTCCGTAGGGCTAAGAGTTGCTCTACTTCTTCCCATCGTATTTGCGCTATCCTGTACAACAGATTACGTTTGAGCACATAATATAGCCTTGGGCCTTTGGCCTTTCCTTCCACGGCTACGCCATTTACTTCCACTACCTCCTCCCTTACATTCGCATACAGCGGGGTCATTGGCTTGGTCCTGCCTGAAATTCTCACGTGCGGTACCAATCTGACCTAATTCCAGGGGGCCTGTTTCTACTCCGCCCCCTGGGTTGCCCCTACTTGGGCTAGGAACCGCCTCAAAGTCCTCACTGGCCTGAATTATCTCCTGGCCTCCTGAACGGGTTCGCCTACCAACCAGGGAGGTTTTCTGGTTCTCTGCTCGAATCCTGGTCCCCAATCTTTTATCTGCCCTCCTTTCCCGCCTAGACTTTTGGGGTTTTCCGGGGGATGAGAATAACTCTGGGGCAAATTCGGCAAACATTGGGGTGAGGCTATCTGTAGGTGCCTCCATCTCAACCTGGGGGTTACTACCCTCCCCTGGCTCTATTGTGGGGAGTAAGCTCTCAAACCCGGGGAAGTCCATACCAATTAAGACGGGGTACGAGAGCCTGGGGACCAACCCTGCAGTCACCCTGGTAGCATTCCCCTGGATCTCAATCCGTACTGGGATTGTGGGGTAGAAATTTAAGGTGCCATGAACGCATGTTACCCCTGTGTTTTTGGCCCGGTTTAGTTATGATTCTCCTAGAGTTCTCAACAGTCCAGGGCCTTGGGTTTGAGACTGGCTTCCTAGTTTGCCATGTCTCACCCCCTGGGGTCTGGAATAGTTCACGGGCTGCCAGCTGTCTTTCCACGAGAGACACCAACTCATCATAGGTGGAGGGGTCATTCTGGCCAACCCAAGCCCGGAGGCTTGGTGGTAGCCTCCTCATATACCAGTCCAGTACCAGGAGCTCCATCATCTTCTCAGAGCTGAGGGCCTCAGGGCGCAGCCATTTCCAGGTCAGGTGGATCAGGTCAAACAATTGCGATCGTATACTTGCGATCGTATACTTGCGATCGTGTCCTCCGTGTACTTCCACTCATGGAACCTCTGGGCTCGCAACACCGTTGTTACTCCGGCTCTGACCAGGATCTCTGCCTCCAGCTGGTGGTAATCTGCTGCAGTCTCCGCAGCCATATCGTAGTAGACCTTCTGGGCCTCCCCACACAGGAACGGGGCGAGGATACCAGACCACTGATCTCAGGGCCAGGCCTCCCACAGGGCTGCTCTTTCAAAAGCCAGGAGGTATGCCTCCACATCATCCTCCCATGTCATTTTCTATAGGCAGTGGCTGGTCTGTATGGTCCGGGTCCCATCGCAGTAACGATTCAGCTCCATAAGGGCCTTCATCTGATTTACCAGCTCTTGCAGCAGGGCTCGGTCCTGGGCAGCCTGACTCATCAACAGACGATTAGTCTCCTGCTGCATCCGAGTCGCCTCCTGTTGGGTGGTTGCTTGAACCCAGGTAGCCTCCTGCTGGGCTGCGCTGGCTTGTATTAGGGCCTTGACCACGTCATCCATCTTAGGGACGGGAGGGTTTTGGCTAACCCTGGTTTAAGTCCCCAGCATGTAGATCCCACTGCTCACACCACGTGTGGCAAATTGCCGGCACTACTATGATGGGTCTCGCGCTTTCTCTTCTTGGGGGGGCGGGGGTCAGGGCACCATTTCTTGCCCCTGAACTGGGGTATTAATTGTCCCACTAGTGTCCTCGAGAAGGGGAGTGGACAGGAAGGGATCCGGGCCCACCCTCTACTCGGGGTCCCAGCCCAGGGGCCCTAGGGATAGTGGTAAACCACTAGAACTAGAGGTTTCTTCCCCTGGGCTACTTCCCTCTCCTGCCCTTCAGCTTGTGGGGCTTCCTGCCCTCCCTCTGCACAAACCAGGTGTTCTTTTACCTGGGGTCTTGATCTTCTTAGCCCACTGCAGCACTTCTCCAAACTCTCCTCTGCTTCCCTCCAAACTGCTCTGTACTCCAGCAACAATCCACTCTGCTTCAACTCCTCCTCTTCTCTGATTGAAGCTGGGGGGTTTTATCATGTGACTGGCTTCAGGTGCTTTAATTAACTTATAGGAAACTTTCTTCCCTCTGCAGGGAATAAGGCTCCCTTCTAACACTCTCCTGCTGCCCTCTGGCCATGCTGTATCCCACACAGTATAAAAGCATCCTGACTGGTTAATAATTAAATCACACAGTGTTTTAATATCATGTGCTGCAAAGAACCACAGGAGACATATTAAAGACCCACTTGCAGCTCCCAAGCCTCAGTCTTAGTATCACTGGCCTCGACCATCACTTGAACGCTACTTGCTGCAGTGCTCTGGCCGCTGCACCCATGAGGAACTGTTTCAGGTAAGTGACAACACGAGGTCTTGGCCGCAGTGTTGGAGAGACAAACTATGATGATAAAATTTTCCATTGACGAAGAGGATGTTAACAAATAAAAATAAAACAGTGATCATAAACTAATATTAAAGAGACCAAAAAACAAAACAAGATCAACCATAAACCAAATGAGTTAAGACTTCTCTACCACAAGATTTCCTCCTCCAACACAAATACTTCTAATCTATCCCTCTATCCTTCTGAATCTCCTGTCCCAGACATAAAAGAGGCAAAGAGGTAGTTATGATAGAGGTCCAGGCTTATCTCTCCTGTGCAGTCAGAGTTTCTCCCCAAAAGGTAAAAATCTCATCCAGTCCACACTCTTACACATATAGAATTAAGGCACCCAAAAAACTCTAAAGAAAGAACTAAAAGTAACATTTTCAAAACCACCTAAATGATTAGGCACCCAAGTCCCATTCACCTTTAGTGGGAGTTGGGCACCTAAGTCACCTGCGTGTTTTCAAAAAGTGTATCCTACAGCTTCATTCTTCTCAGATGTCCTATAAAAACAGCAAAGATCCATAGGCCTGGCTCCTTTGTCCTTTCTGTTTTGTGAATCTTTGGCCTGGAAAGCAAAGCTGAAAAATGTGACATGCTTCCTCCATTCATTCCCTACCACTTACCAAGACAACAGTACAAATCTCATAAGCTGGTAAACTGGAGGAGAAGAGGAGGGTGTTTTGGTACAGGCAACATTACTATTTTATGGTTGTCCCAGAGACACAAACCACATACATCCGCAGTTCTGCGTATTAGCTGTTGCTTTAAAAAGTAAGGTTAGCCTACAATGGAGCTAGAAGATATGGAAGTTGGTGGTAACGTTTACAGATTATACGCCTCCTTAAATCACATTAGCACACTTCTAAACCACATAGTAATTTTGAGTTTACATTCTGCTTCAAACTTGTGTAAATGAGTAGGCTGGATCTAAGCCATCCATCAAGACTTTGGTATGGATTTTTGTAATTTATCAAAATTAGATATCAGAGCGTAGGACTCTTCGATTATTGTTATACTCTGATACATTGCATTTATTATGTACTTTTGTCCATGTCTCTTGCACTCTGTAGTTAATACATTTCCACAGGGACTGCTGACATGAGTATCTCTGAACAACTTCATTCACTTTTCCTTCCCACCATTTTTAAAATCACGTTGCTAGAGAAAGATTTCCTTCTTTGGGCTGAAAATGTGGCATTTTCCCCTAAATTATACTGTTTGGGGTTAGATCAAGCAATATTCAGTACTGTATCCATGTCAAGTTTAAGGTCTATAACTTGTAACTCTACAATGGTGCTATCTAGTTTTGTAAAGAAAAGATACTTAGGCTTTCTGAAGAGACAGGTAGCAATTGCTTCTGGCCCTAGAATATCATTAGCTATCAGACTTAAAAATTTCCTAAAATACTTTTTGAATAAATGTCTCTTTAAAGTTGTGCCACTGTTGCCAAGAAGGCCAATGGCATTTTGGGATGTATAAGTAGGGGCATTGCCAGCAGATCGAGGGACGTGATCGTTCCCCTCCATTCAACATTGGTGAAGCCTAATCTGGAGTACTGTGTCCAGTTTTGGGTTCCACACTACAAGAAGGATGTGGATAAATTGGAGAGAGTCCAGCGAAGGGCAACAAAAATGATTAGGGGACTGGAGCACATGAGTTATGAGGAGAGGCTGAGGGAACTGGGATTGTTTAGTCTACAGAAGAGAAGAATGAGGGGGAATTTGATAGCTGCTTTCAACTACCTGAAAGGGGGTTCCAAAGAGGACGGATCTAGACTGTTCTCAGTGGTAGCAGATGACAGAACGAGGAGTAATGGTCTCAAGTTGCAGTGGGGGAGGTTTAGGTTGGATATTAGGAAAACTTTTTCATTAGGAGGGTGATGAAACACTGGAATGCATTACCTAGGGAGGTGGTGGTATCTCCTTCCTTAGAAGTTTTTAAGGTCAGGCTTGACAAATCCCTGGCTGGGATGATTTAGTTGGGGATTGGTCCTGCTTTGAGCTGGGGGTTGGACTAGATGACCTTCTGAGGTCCCTTCCAACCCTGATATTCTATGAAAGTTGCCAATGTTTTCCTTTTTTTTTTTCCCTCTGTACTCTACAGAACAGGACTTAAGTTGGAAAAGAACTCTAGCTTTACAAGTGAAGGGATACAAAAATAGCCACAAGAAAAAACTGTTTAACTGATTCTAGTAATCTTTTCTTTGGGAAGTTCTCAGCACCTTTCTATTGTTTGAAACACACCTTTGATATTCATCAGGAAGAACACACCCAGACAAGGGAAGAGCCTTTTCGCTGTCTCATGAAATTCCACTCAGCTTTTGAACAATTAAAAATCATCCATTTCTCAAGAAAGTTTTGGAGCATCCCAAAACAATTCCTCAACACAAGAACATTCTAAAAGCGAGGCTCATGCTGCTGCCAAGAAAGTAACCACTACTTTAGTGGGAATATCTGGGAGCAGCCGGAGGGCTGTTGGATAGGGAGGGAGAAGAAGAGACAGGCCCACATGCTGAAGAGAAGAACTGTGACTGATAACCATTACCTGCAGGAAATGCTGCCCAAGGAATAGCAGGAGAAATAGTTTGTGTTTCACCATCTTCACCTTCAAAGGTCACTGCTGCCTAAAAAAACGGAAAATACTGTTTTGTTAGACTTCTAAAAACTTATGTACAGATTTTCCAGGAGGCATTTCTAATGATCACATTAATGACAACTTATCAAGCATTTCAAATATATTCCTTTAATAGTGATCTGTACTGCACTGCACTAGCGCAAGTGGAAGAACATTTTTTTTTTTTACTGTAGTTGTCCAACTGCAATGAGCATGCACTACAAAAAAAAAAAAAAAAACCACACACCACACACTACAGAAATCATTTAAGTGCATCACTAGTCACCAAAGCACTTAAGCACTTGCTTAGGATTGGCTGCTTAGTTGGGACTAAAGCGCACATAAACTTAGGAAAAAGCCCTCAATAAACTGGATATGAAATACAGATATGATCACAGGCACAACTACGCAAACACACTAACATCTTTGATTTAACCTCACAATTGTTAAACTGAATACAAAACAACTTTTAGGCGATGTGCAGAGGTGTGTGTTATACTTATTATTTGACCAAACAAAAAAATCACCTCCCAGAAATATTAAAACCTAAGCCAAAGTTTTTACATTTTAATGCCTAATGTTAGGTATCTAAATACACAGAAACTTAGTTAAGTGGCCTGATTTTCAAAGATGCTGAACATCCCTAATTTGTGTTCTATCTAGAGAGAAAAATAAATTTTGCTTGATTATTAAAATGTATTGGTCGGTAAATTTTGCTTTAACGTTGACAACTAAGCACAATTTTCATGTTCACATCTGTACAATCACTAATCATAAAATAAAGCATGCCCTTCCAAATGATGTAATTTTAAAAGTTTCTAAAGCTAACCATTTTTCAAGGTCAGCAACATGACATACCTCAAAGCCTCCAAAATCGTCGTCATCCATTTTCCAGCTGGCACCTACAAGACAGTATAAAATAATATTGATCAAAAATCTAAGCTCTTGGCAGTCTGCTGTATCCCAAGGGTGGGCAGATGTATTCCGTATAGCAAAAGCTTTCAAGCACCCTTCAAAGATAGCCTCAAGTAGAACACATTACAGTGAGCAAGCCTCAAGGAGACAAAAGGCATAGGTAACCACAGCAGACTCAGCATCTGAAAGCAATGAGTGATAGCAGATAAGCAGATTCACTCAATCAAGTGAAATTAGTCTTTTGCTAGTTCATCCAAATTATTTTCTCACTCCCAGCTATTATCACTGATTTTTCATCCAGACTGAGCATAAACCCACTGAGCTTCCATAATGGTCCTTATCTCCACAAGAGATTTGAGAAAACCAGGAAACATGTCTATCCAGGTCAGATGAACTGGAGACGTACAGCTCCCCCACCACACTGTAGCCAACAGTGCTTCTAAACCTCTCTAGAGCTTCCTTTATGTTGATTAAGAAGAATTACAAGACAATCATGTGGGACTCAACAGCAGAGCTCCCTTGGTGGGGAAGAACAATATTGTTCAAGATCGCTTCAATAAAAGTAGCCATTTTAAAAGTGATTCTGTCTACCAACAGACACAGCAGCAAAGCACACAGCACCCCATAATCAAAGGTATTAAAGGCTGCCGAATTACCTCGTCTCTTGGACAACACGCCATCATTAAATGACTTGAGATCACCTATAGTAACAAATGTTTCTATAACATATCTTCGTTTGACATTTGAGTGGTTGGATTTATAGCATACCACCATATTATTTCTGATCTAAAATAAAATGGTTCCTTGTTACTAGTAAAACTAGGATCTGTTCAATTTTTTCATTAAAAAAAGCTAGCATTTTGTTTGTTTTACTTTCCAGTAGAACTTTCTAGCAGAATTAAAATTTTCTGTATTTCTTCATCTGCCATGTATTCTGAAGTTATGTTCATCTGCCAGGAATGGAAAAAATATTTTTACATTTTAAGTTTCTTTTCCAAATTGGCACTGTGGCTCAATTCAATAATATTTCCTGCTTTTCACATCTCTTAGCTGTCTGGCAACATCAGCACAAACTCCAACTTAGAACAGGACTGTGGTGAATTTCTGGAAGTCTCTCTGTCACCACAAAGGTTCTTCCCTAGGTTTCATGGCAGGGGTTGATTTAGATTTTCAAAACTGATCAACATTTTTGAGTTGCAGCCATGATTTCTGTGGCATTTTGATATATTTTTAGCTAAAACTGTCTTGTTTCTCTTGAAACACGTGGAGTAAGTTACTCAGCTAATGAAGGTAAATCAAGCTATGCATGGGTGCTCCTAAAAAAGTACAGCTAAACCAGTAATATATCCCCAAAGTTCCTCCTGATATTTGACTAAGGGTAAGGATGAACCAACAAGTCTCAATAAATGTAACAAAAAGGTAAGAGAAATTTATTATTTTCCAGTTAAACTAAATGGCTGGCTGCAAAGATTTCAGTAACATATGAGCAGAAATAAAAGCATGCAGGTGGTTTGCAAGAAATCTTAATGAATTAGATTATAAAAGAGCAATTTCTCCAAAGTTAGAGGCAGATACGACTGTCGATCTAGTGCTGAAAATCATTAGTGACACAGAAAACTGTCTCTTCCCAAGCTTACCAAATTTGCTATTCATGAATTACTGATAAAGTTAAATTGAATCAGCATTGTTTTGCTTAATAAGAAATTAATTCAATTAAATAAAAAATGAAAAGGAGTACTTGTGGCACCTTAGAGACTAACCAATTTATTTGAGCATAAGCTTTCGTGAGTTACAGCTCACGATGAAGTGAGCTGTAGCTCACGAAAGCTTATGCTCAAATAAATTGGTTAGTCTCTAAGGTGCCACAAGTACTCCTTTTCTTTTTGCGAATACAGACTAACACAGCTGTTACTCTGAAACCTAAATAAAAAATGTTGCCCAATTTCCACATAAGCCTGTGTGACGATGTGACTCAGCAGGGAGGGGGGAGTGTTGACCTGGGAATGTGCCCTGGGGATGGGAGACCTGAGAGCCTGTCACCTGAGCCAGGAGGGGGAGGGGGAGGTAACACCTCTGCCCAGGAATGTGGACGGAGACTGCAGCAGGGAACCTGCTGGGTGGGTTTAGTTTTCAGTTTGGGGCTGGGTGGAGGAACACAGGGAACCCCAGGGCTGGGGTCTAAGCTCCCTGCTCCCCCAGAAGGATGTGATTGAGGGGTCCTGGTTGTACCCACAAGCTCTGTTACGGACTGTGTTCCTGTTGTCCAATAAACCTTCTGTTTTACTGGCTGGCTGAGAGTCTCAGTGGATCCCAGGAAGAGGGGTGCAGGGCCTGGACTCCCCCACACTCCGTGACAACTCGTGGCAGCGGTGGGATGTACTGCACCCCGTGAACAGCGCTTCCTGCAGTAAGTGACTGGGGAACAGTAAAATTAAGGGGAATTGACAGGGACCAGGCGTGCTGAAGATTCAGAGAGAGACGGTTTCGGGGAGCGGTTAACCCCTGGGAATGTGTGACCAGAGAGAAGGACTTTTGCAGTAACAGGGTCCCCCGGGGGATTGCAGCGAGTGGTCCCAGGGGCGGAGGAGTCTGCAGCTCGACCCTGGCAAAGAGTCGGTGACCTCAAGAAGGACTGGCACACTAAGGGCTTTTCCTAGAAACCGTGGGAAGCTGCCCGGTCTGCGAGTGGCCAGCAGGGAGATGTACGCTAAACGCCTTAAGAGCGACCTGGTGGAGCTGTGCAGGCAGAGGGGGCTGCGCATCGGGAGGTCCACCAAGGAACAGCTGATTGCCCAGTTGGAGGAGAGGGATCGCTTGGATGACCCGATCCCTGTCCCTGAGGGAAGCCGCCCAGCAGACGCAGTGTGGGCCCTGGGGCCTGACCGGGCTGGGAGGGGTCAGACTGCTGCCGAGGACATCCCGAGACCCTTCCTACCTATGCCTGGGGGAGGGGTTGGGGGAAGCCCAGCGAATACCGAGGGCACCCTGACCCCAGCAGCCAGCAGGGGATCCTCCCGGCGGAGCTCCCCATCCCTGGAGCGGAGTCGGCTGGAATGGGAGAGGGAGATGAAAATGAGGGAGCTGGAGGATCATGAAAAACAACGTCAACATGAGGAGAAACAACGTCAACATGAGCAGGAGGAGAAGGAGAAACAACGTCAACATGAGCAGGAGGAGAAGGAGAGGGAACGTCAGGAGAAGGAGAAACAAAGACAGCATGAACTGGAGCTGGCCAGGCTGAGGAGCAGTGGGGCCCCGGCTGTGGTGAGTGAGGGGGGACCCAAGACTGCAAGGAACTTTGATAAGTGCTTCCTGGCCCAGCGTAAGGAGGGGGAGGACATAGATAGCTTCCTGACGGCCTTTGAGAATGCCTGCGAGATGCACAGGGTTGACCCCGCAGACAGGCTCCAGTTCCTCACCCCCTTACTGGACCCCAAAGCCGTGGCGGTGTACAGCCGGATGACAGGGCCGGAGGCAGGGGACTATGAACTATTCAAACAGGCCCTGCTCCGTGAGTTTGGGCTGACCCCCGAGATGTACCGGAGAAGGTTCCGGAGTCAGCGTAAAACGCCTGAGGTCACCTACCTACAACTGGTCAACCGGATGCAGGGGTATGCCTGCAAGTGGACAGCTGGGGCCCAAGCTAAAGAGGACCTGCTTGACCTAATCGTACTGGAGCAACTGTATGAACAGTGCCCTTCCGACCTGAGGCTGTGGTTGGTGGACAAAAAGCTAGAGGACCCCCAGCACGCAGGGCAGCTGGCCGACGAGTTTGTGAAGTGTCGGTCAGGGGGTAGCCGGGAGGAGCCCCAAAAGAACAGGCCCCCCCCGATGCAGAGAGAGAGTCACCAGGGGGCCTCCCAGCAGGGAAATAGGGAGAACCCCCTCCAAAGGGGAACGCCTGGCGTCGGGCCCCTCCGACCTGCTCGAGGGGACCAACGTGACCTGAGCTGCTATCACTGTGGCCAGAGAGGCCACGTACGGTCCCAGTGCCCTGGGCTCAGGGACAAACTGAGCAGACCCAACCTACCCAGGGTTAACTGGGTAGGGACCCAGCTGGACGAGGGGCAGATGACCCAGGAAAGGGGGCCTACCAGTTTACCACCTGCTCAGGAGGGAAGAGTACCCCAGGCCAGCTCCACCAGAGGGCTGGAGGCTCTGGACTCAGGGTGCTCGGTTTACAGGGTGGGCGCGGGGCTGTCCCTCCGGAGAGAGTGCCTTGTTCCCCTGGAGGTGGATGGGAGGAAGGTCAATGGATACTGGGATACGGGCGCGGAGGTGACGCTGGCCCGGCCTGAGGTGGTGGCCCCAGATTGGGTGGTGCCCAACACCTACCTGACCCTGACAGGGGTGGGCGAGACCCCATTCAAGGTGCCCGTGGCAAGGGTACACCTGAAATGGGGGGCCAAGGAGGGCCCCAAGGATGTGGGGGTACACCACCATTTGCCCACTGAAGTTTTGATGGGGGGAGACCTAGAGGACTGGCCAAGCAAGCCCCAGACCGCCCTGGTTGTGACGCGTAGCCAGAGCCGGCGAGGGGCACTGCTCCCGGGGAGGGTACCGCACCGGAGGCGCAGGACCCTTCCCTGGTGGGGAGGGAGCGCCGAGGGGCACGGCTCAGAGAGGCTGAGGCCTCAGACCTGGCCACTGAGTGGGAACCGGGCCCCATCCCTTCCCCAGCCGCTGAGTTCCAGGCCGAGTTGAGGAAAGATCCCTCCTTGCGGAAGCTCAGGGACCTGGCCGACCTTGGTGTGGTACGGACCATGAGGAGAGGCTGCCAGGAGAGGTTCCTGTGGGAGAAGGGGTTCCTGTACCGAGAATGGGCTCCCACAAGGGAAGTAGAGTCCTGTGGGATCAGGAGGCAGCTGGTGGTTCCCCAGAAATATCGCCGCAAGCTACTGTACCTGGCCCATGACATCCCCCTCGCAGGGCACCAGGGAATCCGGCGCACCCGGCAGAGGTTGCTACAGAACTTTTACTGGCCCGG